TAAGGGCCCACTAGCTGCAGCAGCAATTGGGCACTCCCAGAGCTGTGAGCCCCATCAGCTGCGGACTCCTAGCTGCAGGAGCTTGCTACTTGCTGGTGCAGGGGGAACCTGGCAAAACAATCCTGGGCTCCCCCTGCACCAGCAATAGGGCATGACAATCTGATTCTGGATCCCAGAATCACCCCTCATGCCATGCACAAGTGGCAGGGCAGGAGGTGTGATTGTGTGGATTCTGCATCAAATCCTATCACCCCTTTACCTGACCATCTAGAGGGGTCTAGGAGACAACTGTGAAGCATTACATAAAAGCAAGATCCTACCATATAATCATTAAAGTATTTCACAGTATTTTCTGTGCGACAAGGAAATCAGCAGTTTTTTGGTCAAATGAAAATCCCTGCCTACTTAATATTCAGCCTACACCTTCATTTGTGGATAAAAAAATTATTTACTTTCCTGTAAAATATATATTACAACTGTTGCATTTTAGTCCTCATGTGCTTATTTATATTGTGCACAGGTGCACTCTGTAAAATATAGTCTACAAAGTTTTCTGGAACTCCTTTGGGATGAAACGCACAATGAAATAGTAACAATTTTTCAGTCAAGATTTAGACAATTTCCAGTATAATTACATAGTGGTTCACCCCCTCACTCATAGCTAAAATCCTGTGACAAAAACCTACTTCCTTTGTTACATTTCTTATGCTTACTCTGAACCACAATGTGCATTTTGGGGGGAAAAAAGACAAGCCATTTTTAAGTAAGTTTGAAAGAGAAAAATTCCGTCTTACTTGTGAATTTTCTTTCTTGGCCCCTTTGTCAGACTGACATGGAAGGTCCTAGAAAGAAAGTTCTCAGGTAAAAAGATATCCCCATGTCCACCCCTTTGGTGTCAAATTGTTTTATCTGTGCAATCCAGAAAGTTATTACTACAGGGAAGAAGCAGGAACCACCTTAACTGTAAAAACTGTCAAGGTACTGAGGAACTCCCTAACACCCATATACCAAGTTCTTCACCAGAGTAAAGAGTGTGGACTACAAGCATTTGACAAAGGGTGGGTGGAAGATCCCAGAATGGCGTTACCAATATCCACATTAAATTGTTCCTCCTTCCACAATGTAAGCAGTATTGAGAGTAGCTGAACTGGAAATGCAGGAGGTCTCCGTTATGTGAACACCTGACTGAACAACTGAACCTTTAGTGAGCAATTTGTAGCTCTGATCCCTTTTAAAAAGTTTGTTGTATGAAATTAAGCTGCACTGCAAAACAGCGCTTCATGTGCCTGCATGTGTTCAACCACTACATGCTCATGAGGACACAAAATGTGGGTGATCTCAGCAATGTTAAAGCAGAATAACTTTCTAAACAGCAACATATGAACAACGTCTTGTTCTGTTGCAAAATGTTGAAGTCACCCATCAAGGTTTTGCATGACAGAGCAAACTACAATGGGGAAATGCAAGGGAATACTTTGGGCCCTGTTATATATGACATTTTCTCACATACCACACACCCCTAAATAATCCACACACCTTGTTTTTTTGGAAGGCAGAAAGTAGAAAAAAAAAATTTTTCCAGCGTCATGGCCAACTGTATGACACAGGGGTAAGTCCTCCTGGAAACTGAATGTCCAGGAAGGGTGGCATCCCAGGAGACAGTCTGGGTGAGGCAGCAGGAACTGCTTGGTGTAGCAGGACAGCAAAAAGGCTAGACCCCTGCAAGGGTAGTAGCGGGACTATAACTTCTTTACTGTCAATTGTTCTTGATATGTGGTGCCTATCTTCAAAAAAGAGAGGAAAGTAGAGCCGGCAAACTACAGACCCATTAGCTTGACCTCTATCCTGGGGAAGGTCTTGGAAAAGATTATCAAAGAGGCCATCCTATACAGACTGGCCGACAGCAATATCCTGAGGGATACCCAGCACGGGTTTGTTGCAGGTAGGTCTTGCTTGACTAATCTCATTTCCTTTTACAACCAGGTGACCTGCTGGACAAGGGGGAAGAGATTGACGTCATATATCTTGACTTTAAAAAAGCCTTCAATCTGGTATTCCATGATCACCTCTTGGCAGAATTGTCTAACTGCAGCCTCGACCTCACCACGATCCACTGGCTGGGGAACTGGCTCCGCGGCAGGCCCCAGAGGGGGGTGGTTGACGGAAGTCAATTGTCATGGTGCGCTGTGACCAGTGGGGCCATCAAGGCTGTGTCCTA